AAAAATGCAGTTATATATTTATTATAAATATATTATTTTTTAAAAAAAGATTTAATTTGTTTTTATAATAAAAGATAATAATGTCATTCAATTCAGGTCTTATTCTTTCTGCATACCAAACGCATCAATGACAAAATTTATTTCATTCCATTCTCATAATCATTCTATTCTCTAATTCATTTTATTCTTACGAAATTTCATTTTATTATACCAATAATGTCATAACAGTTTTTTTCCGGTTTTTTTTTTTCACTATTTTTACTTTAAACATGAAGTTCTGCTACTGGTATATCTTTGTTTAGTTCAGTCGACACATAATTGCAAGAAAAAAAAAACAATAAAAAAATTAAGAATCATATCTCGTTGAACCCCTGCATGTGAACTTCCATCTATTGTGTGTTTGATATTCATCTATCATTACTTCCATCTATTGTGTGTTTGATATTCATCTATCATTTATCAATCATGTAAATGATTGTTTATAAACAATTGTGTGTTTGTTTTGTTTAGTGTGTTTGATATTCATCTATCATTTATCAATCATGTAAATGATTGTTTATAAACAATTGTTTATAAGATTTTAAATTGTTTTTACTATACTATTAAAACTATTAGTAATTTTTTTTAAAGAAAATTGTTTCATGAGATACAAAATTAAAAAAACAATATTGATTGTAAAATAAATAGCTTGAAACAATAGAATTGTTTATACTTATGTAATTTGTATTTAGTGGAAATTATTATTAGTTGATATTAGCATTAACTATTATACAATATAATAGCAAAAAATACATGATTACACGTAATAAGTGTATTAATGTAAAAAGTAAAAAATATTAATGATACCGAAAATGGAGGGATACTAAATAGTTTTATTAAATATTTTGTCAACAATTATATATATATATATATAGATATAGATTTTCAATGTGTCAGCATTTAATTGAAGCAAATTTTTGTGTTCGCATGCATGTTTGGTACAAACGAGTTGAACCAAGCTTGAATTACTAATACTCAAAATTGTATAGTACTTGAACATTTAACGAGTCAAGCCGGTAAACGAACTTAAACTTCACTCGTTTATCCATAATATTAAGCCGAACTCAAACCTTTAAAAAAATCTATATAATAATTAAAAATTTATATTCTCAAGTCTTTCCAGTCGAACTCTCAACCAACTCTACATGACACACTTGAGTTTGGTGCCTAGTGTATTGCTAAACTATCATGGCATGATTGGTATGATGGAATGGAATTTCGTAGGAATGTAATGAATTGAAGAATAGATTGATTATAGGAATGGAATGAAACATGTTTTGTCATTAATGCGTTTGGTATGTAGAAGGAATATGACATGAATGGAATGACATTATCATTTTTTATTAAAAAATAAATAAAAGCTTTTTTTTAAAAAATAATATACTTTTAATAAATTATATATAAATGCTTTTTTAATAATATATAAAAATAAAATAATATATTTTTAATAATATATTTTGAATAATATATTGTTTGATAATAAAAATAAAATAATATATTTTTAATAATATATATATATAATATATTTTTAATAATATTTAAAAATAAAAAGTAATACATTTTTAATAATATATGTTTTATTTTTTAATTAAAAAGTAAATAAAAGTAAGTTTTTAATTTTTTATTTGAATTTTATTTTTTAAAATAATATATTTTTAATAATATTTAAACATAAAGTAATATATTTTTAATAATATATATTCTAATATTTTTCAATAATATATTTTTAATAATATATTTTTAAAAGTAATATTTTTTAATATAAAAAAAATCATATATAAAAATAAAATAATATATTTTTAAATTATATATAAATGATTTTTTAGTTTTATTTTTATATAAGTATTTAATATATCTAATTAAAAAATAAATAAAAGTAAGTTTTCTATTTTTTTATTTGAATATTTTTTTAAAATAATTTTATTTAATATATTTTAATCATGATTTATAATATATATTATATATTTATTTTTTATTATTATTTATTAATTTTATTTTTTAAAAAATTGATTCCCATAAAAATTGGGAATGAGAAAACCTTCCATTTACTATGGTTCCCATGAAGATGAGTTTTGCCATTCCCATTGGAATGGTCATTCCTTCCCAATCATGAGATAAAGAATGAGTAAGGGAATGATAATTCCATTCCCATATCATTCTTTCCTACCAATCATGCCATCAGTACTATATAATAAATTATTAACTTTGACATATATCTCGTTAATATAAACACAAAATCCCTTCATTTAGTACCCCAACTTTAAAAATGAGTCTATTTATTTAGCATCTAATAATATATGTCGTGAAAAGCTCTTGATAGTCATATTATACCCAAGAAAATAAAAAATAATATATATATATGTATGTATATATATATACAATAATGTAAGATGGTCTCCTATATTCGTTATTCACGACTATTATATTTTCAAATAAAATTTTATACACTGACTGAAATTTCATATATTATTTTATAATATTGTCAACTGCGCAATTAGTTGAAGGTAAAATTTATTTAAATGAGATAATTATATTTGACTTTGTGTATAGTGTGTACGCCTATCACGTACGGTGGATTGTAACCTGAAATATTTTTCGTGTCTTTAAAAATTGATAAAGTCCAAACTTACCTAATTTTCCAAAAAAACTTAATAATATAATTATATATTTGCTGAATTTCAAAGTGTTCCACAACACGCAAGGAAAGCAAATAGAATTATTGATTCTCTTATTAGTATGACCATCTTTGTCATAGTAATGATCACTTATTTTAATTACTGATTATTAATAGTTCTAACTTAGTAAAACTAAGACAAAAATGGTATTGAATATCATAATTATTGAATATTAATAATTATAATATCACAATCAATGTCTTTCGATTCACAAAAATTGACGTGTCCAGCAATACCTTACATCTTATTATATAAGAAATAAGTATAACATGGCTAGATATATTTTTGTAGAAAAATCATGACTCCGGAATTGAGAATAAATCAGATTTTTAATTTGTTTTTTTAAAATCAAATCACATGTCAGGGATCGTATGGCCTGAAAAAAAGAAAAACTCTTGCTCCAATAATTATAATATTAATTATTTAAGGTTAAGAAACATTATAATGTAAAATCTTAATGTAGTTGATTGAAAACAGTTTATTTGACTTGAATAGACACCAATTGATTTATTTAGTAATAGTAAATTTCATTTGTCACAATACAAGCACAGTATACATGTAACGCGCATGTATATGTTCAGTTGATTATGAACACAACCTAAAATAAATTAAAAATTTTGTTGAAATATAAAAACGAACAAAATAATTAAAGAAGTCATTCACTAATTTTCGACAACGAGTTGGTCGTTTATATAGTGGGCGTCGAAATCGAAAGTGATGATTTTCGAATTTGTAACCACGTGGAATAATCATTAAGAAATGTAAGGTTTGAAAATATTTGACGGTCGGATTTTCAACAGAACACTGTATAGACATCGAAATTTTAATATTTTATTAATTAATATTTTTATTTATTTTTTGGATATAAATCCATGATAAATATGATATATAATTAACAATATTATTATTTCTTGTTCACCATGTCAAATCTTAAGATTATGAAAGAGATTATAAATAAATTATATCATATCAAAAAGGACCAATCAAATTGATGTATTCAAGACTTTCTTTCCTACACTTATAAATAGGGCTCTCCTCGAAGTCACAAATCACACCTAAGACACCTCAAAAATCAAGCACACTCTTGAAGATCCAAAGGTGTTCTTGAAGATCCAAGATCATTCAAGTTGAAGATCGTCATTCAACCCACAACCAAGTCCATTCAATGAAGAAAAAGGCCAAGAAGAAGAAAAAGAGGCGGCGGCTCTTCTCCCAAGAAGTAAAGAGATGACTTCCACTCCTCTCATCAATCCAAGAATATCAACGGCATTCAAACGACATTCACGCCGCGTTCATCAACAAGTTCAACCAACATAACGTTTGATCTGAGAAAAAAACCATCAAGCCCTCGAGTCAACGTTATTCAATGCAAAATCCGCCTCTCAAGAAGATCAAATAAATAAGTCCTCCAAGAATAAGTCTTCTTCAATCAAATCAAGTCCAAACATTTAATATAGGAATAAGTCATTCAACCCCCAAATTAATGTTAGGGAAATTCAAGACGAAACTCAAAGAAGATCCAAGTCCATATCCACATTTGAAGATCCAAATCCAAGTCCATGAATAGAAGAATCAGAGGAATTATATAGAGATTATGCCCGCAATATCGTTTGATCGAAATAAATTCAAGTTGTACAAAAGTTTCGTGTTTTTCATAAAATTTATTGTTACATACCGTCCGATAGAGACTCGTGTAATTTGAAAGTTTTGGGAGGATTTTTACAGCAATTTGTCGCCGATCGAAAAATAATATTACGAAACAAAAGGACTATTAGATAAATTAATTGGATTAAGAGTTTTGATTTGATTTATAAAGAAAAGTTTTAATAAAAATAAAACCAAATTAATATTTATTGAACGAAATTGAAAGCCTATACAAAATATTAAACGAATTAACCAATAATCAAAAGTTACTGTACCCAATTACAACCTCAAATTAGAGAATAAAAATGGAAACAGCTAAATTAGTGTNTTAACTTTGTATTTCTGATCTCTCAATCATTTTCCAAAATTAACTATTCAACTTGTTAATGACCAACAAAAATAAAAATAAAAAACACAGAATATCCAATAATAATAATCCCACCAAGTAGGCAAGTACCAACTGTAACAGTGTTGCGGACACCTCGAAATTCAAGCAGCCATGAGCCATGTGAACACATAAAATAAATAAGCCCCCAACTTGTTATTACATAATTAATAATCACATATTCACATTTCTTTTTTTTTTTTCAATTCTTTTTTTTATTTTATTTTTGAGTTTGAAGGCATGAATTAAAGAGTAATAACGACACTATGATTTTTTGATTTGAAGAGTAAAAAATAGTCTGCTGTGGTTGGCCTATAAAGACCAGCCCAAAGCCACCAACCCTGTGGCTGCCATTGTGCCCAATCTCTCCTCTCTCTCCTCCACTGTGTGCTCTGTGTGTGAGAGAGAAAGAGTTTGTGCCAAAAAAATAAAAATAAAAATGGGAAGATCACCTTGTTGCTCAAAAGTTGGTTTGAGGAGAGGGCCTTGGTCTACTAAAGAAGACAATCTTCTCTCTAATTTCATTCTCCAAAATGGGGAAGGCCAATGGCGATCTCTCCCCAAGAAAGCTGGTAGTTACTTTTCTCTATTTAATTTTTCACTTTCCTTCGATTACAAATTGAGCTTATTATGAGGTCCAAGTAGCAAAAGATCATTCATTTATTTTAATTTGTATGAAGAAACTGATTATTATTTCGACTACAAATCGAGCTTATTGAGCTTAAGTAGCAACGTCAAAGTAGCAAAAAATCAT